TCTGTGTCTGGTGGATCTGAGTCTGGTGGATCTGTGTCTGGTGGCTCTGTGTTGGTGGATCTGAGTCTGATGGATCTGTGTCTGGTGGATCTGAGTCTGGTGGTCCTGTGTCTGGTGGCTCTGTGTCTGATGGATCTGTGTCTGGTGGATCTGTGTCTGCTGGATCTGAGTCTGGTGGCCCTGTGTCTGGTGGATCTGTGTCTGGTGGCCCTGTGTCTGGTGGATCTGTGTCTGGTGGCCCTGTGTCTGGTGGATCTGAGTCTGGTGGCACTGTATCTGGGGGCTCTTTGTCTGGTGGCTATGAGTCTAGTTGATCTGAGTCTGGTGGATCTGAGTCTGGTGACCCTGTGTCTGGTGGAACTGAGTCTGGTGGCTCTCTGTCTGGTGGCCCTGTGTCTGGTGGTCCTTGTCTGGTAGCTCTGTGTCTGGTGGCTCTGCATCTTCAGAGCTGTGCAGCTAGAGCTCGCACTCCTGCCTGGGACAACTTCTGCCAACAGCAGACCCATAGGCAGAGTGTGGTGCCTGGGGTCTGGATTTTCAGTTTTCGCAGACTTCTCTGAGGCAGGAGGAACTCGCACTGGCTGCACACCTTGCTCTCATGTCAGTATTTTGTGTGTGCCCGTCAGGACTTGAACTCAGTCCCTGAGTCTCTTTTGCTCAAGGTTAGTGCTGTATCATTTTGAACCAACTTTTTTTGGTAGTTTAGTGGACATAAGAGTCTCACAGACTTTCCTGTCTGGGCTGGCTTCAAATCATGACCCTCTGATCTCAGCCTCCTGAGTATCTAGGATTACGGGCAAGAGTCACTGGTGCCCAGCTTAATGTGTCAGTATTTTTGACATGACCCTAAATCATGTCTGCACACAGACACACCAGGCACATCCTTGGGGGAAGGTCACACACTGTTCCCCACATAGCCCAAGGCCAGGCGAGGCAAATGCAGAATCAGTGAGCATCTGGAAGGCCAGGACACCTGCAGAGAGCTGCCCACCAAGGTTTCCCTGCTGCCCGGGGAGGTGTTACAAAATGCTTGCCCGGCGTGCTGTGAACGGGAGTGGAGGGCATGATTGGCCAGGAGGAGGTGCCTAAACTCGCACAAGATGTCAGGTGGCCTCCTGCAGCAGTAGCAGCAGCAGCAAATCCCAGTTCCTACTGACACACAACCACTGCTTGCTCCACAGAGACTCAGCCCCCAGGTCCTTCCGCTGCTCCTGACTGCTGGCTCCTCTGCAGCCCTTCTGAGTGTGTGTGCAAGCATGTATGTGCATGTGTGTGCACAGGAGTGCATATATTTGTAGTGTGTGCATCTGTGCTTGAATGTGTACATGTGTACATATATGTGTGGTATATGGAGGTATATAATTGCATGCATGGGTATAACCATATGTGAATCTGTGTATTTCTGTGTGTGCATATATGCACATGTGTGTATGTGTATGTGTGCAGCCGTGTGCACATGTACTCATATATGTGTGATTGTATACATGTCTGTGCATGTGCAGGTTTGCATGTATATGCGTACATGTGTATACTTGTGCACCTGTGTAATCATACAAGCATTTACAAGTGTGCTCGTGTGCGTGTGCATATGCATATGTCTGTGTGTGCATAGGTATGGGTCTCTGCGTGCTCCTGTGCATGGACATGTGTGTGTAGGTGTGTGTAGCCTTCTGATGCTCCCATGCCAGGAATACCCCACATTCTCCAGCCATTCTGTATTCAGTTGACCTGGTCAGCTCGGGTCAGCAGTGTGGGTTAGCATCCACAGAAACCCCTGGGCCATCTGCACACCCCAGGAGTCTGTGTGTCAGCACTGGGAGTGCGGCCGGCTGGTGCCTCCAGGTGCAGGCCCAGCTGGGAAATGTGTCCTGAGTGGCCCCCTCCCCGCAGCCGAGGCCGCCTTTGCGTTGGGGCCAGCGGCTCTGGGAAGCGCCTCTCGTGGCGTGGGGCTGCGGTGTCTGTCGCCCGCCCACTCTGGGGTGATCAGCTCCACCCACGCTCACGGTGACCTCAGCCCGACTCCAACCCCGCTGTGGCCACATGGAGTTAATGACTCCCCCAACCCCGTGTGCTGCCGTTGACCTAGACTCCTGAGCTGGCCTGGAGACGGGGTGCAAGCCTGGGGGGAAAGGGTTCCAGGAGGAGCTGAAGGGCGCCACCTCCAGAGTGCCAGGTGCCACCCCCTCCCACCCGCACCCCGTGAGGAGGCAGCCCACCCTCCCACCCTCACCCCGTGAGGAAGCAGCCCACCCTCCCACCCTCACCCCGTGAGGAAGCAGCCCCCCCACCCATGAGGAAGCAGCCCTCCCCCCGCCCACCCATGAGGAAGCAGCCCTCCCCCCCCCCCCCCATGAGGAAGCAGGCCCTCCCGCCGTGCCGCCCCCATCAGGAGTAGGGCCAGGCCTGCTGTACCCGCGGGCTGGACTGTCCCGTGGGGACGGGCGCGGGCGGCGCCTCGGACGCTTGCAGCAGCTGCAGCCCCAAACCTCTCAGCGCCTCCCGGAGCTCCAGGTTCTGTGAAGCCAGCACGTCCATCTGACTCTGGAGTCTCCTGTGAGCGGCTGACCACCGAGACGCCTGCGCCCGGAGCTCTCCTTGGAGCTGGCAGACGAGCTTCTGCAGGCGCTGGGGGGGAGAAGGCCGGGCGCCCCTCAGACACCGCCCCTCGGACACCGCCCCTCGGACACCGCCCCTCGGACACCCCCGGGTACCGCCCCTCGGACACCGCCAAGCACTGCCCGCCAGAGCCCAGCGAGGAGAACGGGAGGACACGCGGCGCCCTCCGTCCAGCAGGGGCCGCGTGAACTGGGGGCTCTGCGCTTTTCTAGCTATTACTGTGGCATGTGACCTGCAGGGGGCGGTACAGACTCAGGCGCGGATCCTGGCCTCCCGTGCTCTGCTGTGTGACCTCAGGAAGGCCACCTGGTCTCTGTGGCCTGTTTCACGCTCCGCCAGGGAACCGTCCTCACCAGCAGCTCCTGAGCCGGGCCTTCTTCCCAGGGGACCCTGGCCTTGGTGGCCGGCTTCTTGCGCTCCGCCACAGCTGCTGGACGCGGGTCCTCCGCGCGGCTCAGCTCCGCTGGCTCTGTGGGCCCCGGGTGACCCGTCAGCACCCTGGTCGGGAAGGGGAAGGGCGCAGTGCTCCTCCCTGGACCCCCGTGCCCTCCAGCCGGCCAGTGGCCTCGCGTCCTCCTGCTCAGAGGTGCCACCCCCTGCCCACACCCCCTGCCGGGTGCCCCTCGCAGACTCACCCCACACGCTGCAAGCCCCAGCCCGCCGCTGACTCCTGCGAAGACATCTAGCGTCAGCCATTGGTGGCAGGCCTGTCCCTCGCAGCCCTGGAAGATGCTCGAGTTCAGAGGTCAGCCTGAAGCCTGCCCCGGCCCGGCAGCCCCCCCAAAGCACCGACCCCCTCCGGCCGGGGGCCGCGGGCCCTGTGGAGGCTCTGAGGAGGGGCTCCCCCTCCTCGGAGGAGGACCAGGGGCTTCAGACCAGGCAGGCACTGCGCACGTCTGCGTGCAGACGGGCAGACCGGGACGGCACAGGCCGCCCTCCCCCACCCCCCGGGAAATGCCCACCGGCCCCAGGGACGGAGGAAGCGCCACCAGTGTCACGGCTTCAGGCTGACCACAGCCACCGGAGATGAGGTAGGTGCTAGTCAAACTCATCACCACTGTCACACACACACACGCACACACACACACACACATGTGCACACACACGTGCACACACACAGATGGACACACACGCACACACGCACACACACACAGAGATGGACACACACACGCACACACGCACACACAGATGGACACACACACGCACACACACACAGAGACGCACACACGCACGCACACATGCCTGGCGTCCTGCGCGCAGTGGGAAGGCGTGGCTCCCTCCGCTCGCCCGTGGGCACCGCCTCCTGCCCGGAGACCCAGGGACAGAGCCCGCTCCTGACCCCTCAGCTCCCCCCACCGCCGGCAGGGCAGCTCACCTAGCCCACGAGGCGCCTTCGCCCCAGATGCTGTTCATCTTGGCACTGCCAGCCAGCCAGCCAGCCAGCTTGCCCGAGCCTCCTGCCCACCCATCTCTGGAAGACCAGAAACCAGCAGGGATTCTAAACTGACTCACCATCTTAAAGGGCCCTTCCCACACAGCCAGCGCACTGTAGAGCTTCAGATGATAACTAAGTGTCTACAGGCCCCGGTCCAGATACTTTCCATCCACACAGCTGGGGAGAGCTGAGTCTCTCCTCCTCTAACCAAGAAAAAAGAGTAACTCCAAGGAGGCTTCAAGTGTGCTATGTTGTCAGAACCAGGGCCCAAATGCAAGCTCTGATCGGACCGGCCCTGGTTACCCCGAGGAGGACAATGCCCAGCCCCATCCGACAGTCAGCCGCCCACCGCATGCCCCGAATGCCGTCACCCAGCCTGGCAGGCAGGGCTTGGCACTGAGCTGCAGAGCCTCCACCAGCCTCTCTGGAGAGGACAGGACGCTGCCTGGGAGCACGGAGGGCCGCGAGCTCAAGGGTAGAGCTGGAGCCCTTCCACCCCAACCTCCACACCCGCCAACGAGCAGACTCCTCCGGAGCCCCTCAAGGGAGATGCCACCCACTCTGGGTGAGCCCAAGCCTGAGCGAAGGGAGCAGTGTGGCCCCAGCTGCTCCTCCACCTGAGCTCAGCCCCCCCCCCAGCTGCTCTCACCCGAGCCTCCCGGGCTGACACCAGCCAGGGCTCAGACCCCCGGCCTGAGGCAGCAACAGAGCGCTCTGTAAAGTCGCTTTATGTTTTGTGATTTCCATTTTAAAGGAATGCTTCCACAATGTTATCTACTGGACATGGGCAATCTTAGTTTTTAAACACCGTCCCTGCAAATGGACAGCGTGATTTGGAATTACTGAAACTAAATTGAGATTTCAGTGAAGTAAGGAGGCCAGGCCTGGCCGGCGCCATAGTGGCCGCATGGTGGATGATAGGTCTGGTACCTTGTCTTCATGCTGGGGGAAGAACCACCCACCCCATCACCTACCCCCCAGGTGATGGGTGTGCCCAGACCCAGGACCGCCAGCCAAGGCGGGACCTAATCTAAAAAAATAAACTCATCATGAGAAAGGCTGGGGACGTGACTCCGAGTGATAGCGTGCCTGCCTACGGCCCAAGGCCTGGGGGGGGTCAGAGGCCAGCGCTGCCATTTCTTTTTTACAATATGTTGAGACGTGTTAAATTCAGAGCAGACTCTGACCTTTAATCAAAGGGCTGGGGCAGAGCCCGGTGTTCTCTTCATGGAAGTCCGGGGGGGGGGGGGCTCAGTCCGGCTGATGACAGCGGGGGGCGGGGCGCTCAGGCACGTTGTATCTTCTCGCTCTGCTCTGAACAGAGAGGAACGTCCCCACGGCTGGTCTTGGGAGGTCTTCCAGATGTGTCTGTGTATTTTTGCAGTACAGGCCTGAGGCTGAGCACAGAAGCAGAGAAAGGTGACCTAGCACACAAGCTATCTTCTCTGACATGAGCCAGCCTGGACTCTGAGCCAGGAAGGCCCCATGTCTGGGCCCTGGGGTGCACACAGCACTTCCTGAAAGAGGAGGTGCTTTTCCAGGTGCTAATCCCTACTGCATGATCAGAGGAAAAAGGATGTTTCCAGAGAGGAACAATGAGCAATGAGCAATGCTGGGGGGGGGGGAGCAGGGAGCGTGACCAGTGTGCCAGCTAAGGTGGGGGAGGGGCCAGCACAGCCAGAGAGGAAATGTCCCAGGCTTTGGTGACAAGGCTGAGTTAGAGTGTGGGCTCAGGTGACAGCCATTTTATCCGTCAGGCCTTCAGCCTTTGATTTGACAGGATAAGCAGGAGCTGTGTTCAGTGCATCATGTTGACATTTGCCAGTTGCCATACACAGCATGGTGGAAGTCCATGGCTAGACTGGAAGAGGGAGAGGGAAGCGGAGCCCGGGCAGGAAACCACACTGCAGATGAGTCTTGTGACAGCCGGCCCAGGCCGTGGCCATGTGTGTCACTGCTCGCGACCACTGCGGAGGGGGGACCAGGGTCCAGTGATGCAGGGCCTGGGCTGTGGCCCAGAAGAGGCACGGATGTGGTTCGGCCAGGGGTCTTGAGATGGGGCGCCCAGGTCCTTAGGCAGAGTCCTAGGGGCCAGGGCAGAAGCTGGGAATGAGGAGGGAGACACCAAGAGGTTGTGGTGCTGTGTTCAAAGCGAGGAGCCACCAGTATGGAGGACGGGCTGCCTGGAGGGAGCCGGGCACGGCAGGAGACAGATCTGCCCGGCTCTTCCAGAAGGGCCCAGCAGGTTTCTAATCTGCAGAAGGAAGGGTGAGGGCTCTAAGTGTGTGCTGCTTCCGGGCAGCGAGGTCGGTTTGTTTTGATGTGCATTTCTAGGCCTCAGCCTTACACAGATTCTGGAAAGGAGGAGAACTTTCTCAGGAAGCACAATGGAACAGTGGCCTCACCATTGAGTCCTCCCCAATCTTCCTGCCGGTGCTTCGCAGCTCCCCTGCGCGCTCGCCAGGGGACCCCAGCTCTGCCCCCCCCCGGCCTCTTGGGACACTGTGGCTGCCGCTTCGGGGCTCACTGATGGGAAATAAAACACGATTTCCCCCTTTTTAAGACAACACAAGACAAGCAAAACTGCAGGGGGCTTTCCCCCTCCCCAGGGTCCTCTTTTCCCAAATACCTGGGGCTTCCTCTTGACCCAGTTCTATGACTGCTCACTACATTTCTCACTGAAGAAATGCAGGAACCATCTATCTGTTTTCTGGCAGGAAAAAGGAAAACCCTTTTCCTCTTCTTTTAAGGGAGAGAGCGTGGCAAGACCTCGCATTTCGCTCCCGCCCTGCTCCAGGACAGCAAGGCTGGGATTATGGTGCTGCCTAACCACTCGACTGCCAGCCCAACAGTGGATGCAACGTGGGAGCCGTCCTGGCCCTGGAGTGCGGCCTGAGCTTGCCGGGGACGCCGTGGCCCTGTGGACCTTCTTCCATCTCAAGGTATGGAAGCTGTACGCCATCCACCGTTCGACCCGGAGGTGGCTGACCTGCTGCTGGCCTTCTGCCTACCTTTCCTGTTGGCCTTCTACGCCAGCCACAAGGTCTGGGTCCTCAGCCACACAACCTGCCAGGCCCTTCTCTTCCTGCTGACCCTCAGCCGCGGTGTGCAGGTGGCCTTCCTTGTTGCCGTGGCTTTAGACCGCTCAGCTCAAGGTCAACCATCTGTCCCCCTGGGCAGCCTGGCCATCTCGGGTCTAGCCTGGCTTCTGATGGTCGCCCTCACCCACCAAAGCATGTGTGTTCCCAAAGCCGCCCAAATCGGACACCAGCTGCCCAGCTTCTACCCCGGGGGGGGGGGGCATCCTCCAGGGCCACCTGGCAGGAGACGCTGTTCTTCCTCCAGCTGCTGCTTCCCCTGGGCCTCGTCTTGTTCTGCACCAGAGATCGGGGCTCTGGGGAGGCGGCTCTGAGCGCTGCGGAGGGCGTGGGCGCCGGCGGCCGTGGTGCTGCCACTGTGCGCACCGCACCGCGCTTCGCTGGCGGCTGTGGTGCTGCGGCTGTGTGCACCGTGCTTCGCTGGCGGCTGGTGGCCGTGGTGCTGCGGCTGTGCGCACCGTGCTTCACTGGCAGCTGTGGTGCTGCCGCTGTATGCACCGTGCTTTCTGCCCACAACGCTGGCCAGACTCCTGCGCTCATCGAGCATTGCTGAGCTGCACCCTGCGGCGGGCAGCCTGGCCTTCCCGCAGATGTGCTCGGCCCACCGTCTACTGCGTCTCTGGCCGAGCCTTCGCCAGCTCCTTCCAGGGTGCGGGGCAGCCCTGGAGGCTGAGGGTGGAGGGCAGAGCACGGGCCCAGCCTCGGGGATTCCTGCTCCTGACTCACGGCCCAGCCCCACCTGGGTGGAAGCAACGCCGCGGCCCCTCAGGACTGCAGGAGAGGAGACTCGGGCTGCACACCGCGGGCCGATGCCTCACATCACCCCGGCCGTCCGTGACTCCAGCCACAGCCACCTGTCCACCCCCAGGGATGGAGCTGGCTGGGCCTGGGGAGGAAAGGAAGGCCGTGTGTGGCCCCTCCACCGCCGCGGTGGCCCCTGGCCCTTCCCCCCTCCCCCTGGGCTGGGAAGGCTGGTCACCCGTCTTCACTTTGTACTCAGCTCATTGCGTACATTTTCTTCCATAAAATCTTGCTTCCTTACTAGGGGTCAAAGGTAGTTCGGGGGGCTGGGAAGGCAGCTCCTGGTGAGCGCTCGCCTAGCACGCATGAGGCCCTAGGTTCAAGTCCTCAGAGCCACATACACAGAAAAGGCCAGAAGTGTCACTGTGGCTCGAGAGGTAGAGCACTGGCCTTGAGCACAGAGAGGCTCAGGGGCAGCGCCCAGGCCCTGAGTTCAAGACCCAGGACTGGCACAAAAAAAAACACAGTTACAAAAGTGCTCACTGCCCAGTCTGCCAACACCGCCCAGCGCATCGGGTTCACGCCCCAGGCCTAAGCGCAACTCGGGCACCTCCCTTCCATTTCCCGTCTCAAAGGTGAGCTCACAGAACAGCTCTTCTGTGCGGGAGACCCCGTGACACAGCTGCCACCGACAGGGAGCCGGACTGGCGGGGGCTGGGCAGGGCTGAGAAGGCCACACCCCACGTGTCCTTCAGGATGGTGGAGAGGATTCCCAGTCGCCTTCCTTACTGCCTCGGCCTCCTCGTTCACTCTCTGCCGGTGGTGAGGACAGGAATCACCAACACGCCCCCGCCCACGAGGCTGCACCTGCAGCTCCACGGCCACTCCCGGCGGCATCCGGCCACCCCCGGTCAGAGCCGGTAGCACTGGCAATGGCATGCCACAACCCCCAGACCCCAGCACCTGGGTCTGCAGCTCCATTCTGCGGGCACTCGCTGAGACGTGTGTCTCCAGAAGCCCTGCTGAACGCAGGAGGCACCGTGGTCATGGTCCCGGGTGGGGAGGGGCAGCTCCACTCTGTTCACAGACACTGCTGTTC